CAGATCATATAGTTTTATTGTCCAGCTGATTACTTTTCCATTATCAAAGGTAAAGTAGTTCCCAAAGGCTTTTTCAAGTGTGTCTTTTCGTTTACTGTCCTGTATTGTCAATGGGAAAGAAGAAGGTAAAATCTCGGTAGTTCACTTAGGAGTGGAATTTTGATTCCTAAGTCCCTCAAGGACAAGTGAGAATTATTCATTCAGACCAGAAATAGGATCTGATCCGAGGCTGCTCCAGCAGAGCCAAACTGTTATGCCTGTGCAACAGCTTTGCTTTCTACCTATTATAAAGTTTAGTATTTCAGCTTCTCCACCAACTCTGTGAGCTCTTGATAGCCTCAGGATTGAGCCTATTTTCCTTCATTGAGTTCAAATTAGCAACTTAAGCTGCCATTGCAAGACAACAGAAATTTATTTCCTCACAATTATGGAGGCTGGATATTGGGGACCACTACAAAGTGCTCTGAGCTGGATTTAATATTAACCAATTGGCTTTCCGTGTTTATTTGTGAGTTGTCTGAAGCTTAGGCACCTTGTCTGCCACCCAGTTAACTTAAAGGAGACTGTAGCTGCAGGCATCTCACTCCTGCTGTGAAGGCCTTCCTGGAGATAACATAGGTCTCCTAAATTAACATAATGTATTACTTAAAAAAGTCCTGCCCAGGGCTGGGGATTTAGCTCGGCAGCATGGTGCCTGCATGGTCGTGAGTTTGATTCCCGGTACTGGAAAAAAACCAAAACCAAAACCAAACCAAAACAAAACAAAACAAAACAAAACACAGCAAAACAGCTTGAAAAAAAAAAAGTCCTGCCCAGATTCCAGTGCTTTCTTGATTATCCTCCTCCTTGTTTGTAAACCAAGTAAATACGGGCTGGCCAGAGAAGTCTTGGGCTAACTCAGAGAATACTGAAGCTGTAAGAGAGTTAGTCCCTTCTGGTGCCCTAAAATCATTACCATTGTCTGCATTTATTTAAGCCTTTGCAGTCTACTTGCTTGGGAGATTGCGGGGCTGATCATCCTGCAATAATTTAGGGTTATTTAACCTGGTTTTTGATAGCTGGAAGTCTGAGTTCAGATTGGGCAAGGGTCCTCACATGGCAAAGAGAGGATCTCCCTCTCCTCTCCCCTCCCCTCCCCTTCTTTCTCTCTCCCTCTCCTCCCTCCCCTTCCTCTTTCTCCCATAGCGCCACAATGGGAGCCAATTAGAAGCATTTCAAGAGCCTTGAAACACACCTATAAGCCCAGCATTCCACAAGCTGAGGCCCGAGGATTGCAGGTCTGAGGCCAGCCTGGGCTACATCTTTCCTGGGTGTCTTTAGGATACGTGATAGTCTTTGTGAAGATAAGAAAGGGAGGGGCTGGGGATTTAGCTCAGTGGCAAAGTGCCTGCCTGGCAAGTGCAAGGTGGTGAGTTTGATTCCTGGTACTGGAAGAAAAACAAAACAAAACAAAACAAAACAAAAAAAAAAAAAGAAAAAAGAAGATAAGAAAGGGATCTAGAGATAAGGGAAAGACTGGAAGAAGACAAAGGGAAGGAAAAAGAATCAAGGCACAACACCAGTCCCCTATGATGAATGCGTATATTACGTAGTGAAAACATTCTAATAAAAAAGGAAAGGAAAAACTTGAAGACAAAAAATCTGATACCTGAAATTTAAAAACAAAACAAAACAGTGATTGCTGCGGCCGAGTGCCATCCACTGGAAAGACAGGTTAAACTTATTCATAGGATTTGGCACCCACGGTGCAATTTCTGGCTCTTCCCCAAAGTCAAAATGAGCATGAAAGGTAAATGGTTTGAATGGATTCAGAGGCCAAGGCAGCCACAACAGCACAAATAAGTCAATTACAAAAGAGAATTTCCAGAACTGCCTCAGAGTGTGGCAAGAATGATGGGATAAATACATTCGAAGCAAGGGGGAAATTTTTTTTTTTGAGACAGGTTCTCACTGTGTAGTTCAGGGTAGTCTTGAACTCACTATATAGCACAGGTTGGCCTTCAGCTATGAGCAATCCTCCTGCCTCAGCCTCCCAAGTGCTGGGATTATAGGCATGCACCATCATGCATGGTCCAAGAGGAAATATTTTTGAGTGGGATTAATGGGAATGTCTTTAATAAATTCTTAAAATTTAAACATTCACTGTATTTTTAAGTTACACCTTGTAAGTAGGCATAAAAATGTTTACTGGAAGGAAGTCTTATGTGACAGCTGGGCATGGTGGCACACACCTGTAGTCCCAGCACTAGGGAGGCTGAGGCAGGAGGATTGCTGTGAGTTCGAGGCCAGCCTGGGCTACATAGTGAGTTCAAGGCCAAGCTGAACTATACAGACAGACCCTGTCTCAAAAAAAATTTTTTTTAAAGTTAAAATGTTTTTGTAAAAGACTTATTTGAATTGTGAAGTCTGTTGCCAAAAGGACTGATGGGCAATGAATTTGCCAAGGTACCAAGGATCCCTATGCAATTACTGTAGAAATACAGACTATAGTTGATATGCTGAAATAGCAAAGCTATTCTTTCTTTGTCCTTTCCAAGATTGCATTTCTAAGTTTTTAAAAGTGAAGCACTTTTAAATGTGTTGCTTCATTTGATTAGTAGGTTGATTCAACTGTTGCTGCTGCATTTAGTAATGCCAGAGACAGCTCAAGCTGTTTGTAGCAAGTGATCTTGCCCCATAATCCTTCTGCCTCAGCCTTCTTTTCATTTTGGTCTTTTTAAGACAGTGTCTTGCTGTGCAGTTTAGGCTGGCCTTGAGCTCACTCTGAAGCCCAGGCTGGCCTCAAACTCGCAACGATCCTTCTGTATCATTCTTTTTGTTTGTTTGTGTTTTTTCCAGTACCGGGAATCGAACTCACGACATCGCGCTTGCCAGGCAGGTGCTGTGCCACTGAGCTAAATCCCCAGCCCCAATTTTTTTTGTGTGTGTGCTACAGGGGATTCAACTCACGACCTTGTGCTTGCCAGCCAGGCGCTTATGCCACTGAGCTATTTCCCCAGCCCTGCCTCAGCCCTCTGAGTGCTGGGATTACAGGCAAGGCACCACCATTCCAGATGGAGATTGGGCTTTCTGACCCTGTGAAGGCACAGGGCAGACTGGTGTTCCAGCAACAGTTTTCAGAGCCCGGGAATATAAATTGCTTTACTATTCCGTCCCTGTCCTCCATAGTTGCAGCTATCACAGTCATTTAGAGAGGAGGTAAGTGAGTTCATCTTAGCACCCTTTATTAGTCTTCTACTACAGGCACCTTGAGATAATTAAAATTCAGCAGACTAGCCTAGAGGAAAGCTACTTGTTTCTCTGGATTACACTTTTTCTAGACATCACCTTTTTGAAGGTTCATTTATTTAATACTTCCCTTTCCGGTTCTTTTATGTTTTAATGTACAACTTCCTGACATCTAAAAATTCAGGGTCTGTATGATGGATGAATTGGCCTCATTTCTCAGCAAGGGAGTTTGCACTGTTTCCATCTCACACCCCAATCCCTCATCCAATCCCAATGGCAAGAAAATTATTTGGAAGCAATAAATCTTGTGACTTACATTACAGTTCTCTTAGATATGAACACATTCACTAGAATTCTGCCAATATTCCTGCAAGGAAGAAAAATATAGTGTTTTCCTTGCCACTTTCTTTCCCTCTTTTTAAAAATACTAATGTATGTTTGCAATACATAATATATACATTCTTTTGGGGGAAATTGGTGCGCACATGTAGAATATCTATAATTTTCAATGCCTTTACTCTCCGTCCCCTTAAAGCAGCAAAAAAAGACGAGAGTTCATTCGTGGGTATTTTTGGAAATGTTTCTTATAATGTCCATGTGCTAAAAACATCAGAATTGGTGAAAGCTTTGTTAAAATTCCATATTCTAAGCCCTACCTCAAAACTGTAAGAATGGAATCTTTCAGAGCAGGGGAGGTGATAATCTGCAGGTGATGAATTCCATGTTCATTAACGCTGATGTATTATCTCTGACTCCCTGAACAGAGGATTTAGTATGTTACTGTACATCTAAGAATGAAAATGCAAAGCTGGCGATATAGCTCAGGGGCACAAGCGCCTGCCTGGCAAGTACAAGGTCCTGGGTTCGATTCCCAGGACCAAAAAAAAAAAAAAAAAGAAAACGTTAAGAAGATAAGCAATTTGGCTTGTTCCTCATGGCTGACATCACAAGTAAGTGAGCAGAAAAGAATATGAAGTCATAGCCCTAAAGCAGGAAGGTAATTTAGAGGTCATTTAGGAGGAAATGTTTAAGCACATTGGAATCCTAGCTCCACTAATTGTCAGGGTTTGACCCCAAGCAAATACTTAACTCCAAAGTTCTCAGGGATAGCAAATATAGAACTATCTTGCTTTGTTTTGAAGGATAAATGAGTTTAAAGTATTTAGAACAATTCTTATCTGAATCTGTAAAAGATGTTCATTGTGACTTAGCAGTTTCCTAACTAGTTTCTTCGCTCCTCCTCCAGCAATTTTCTTTCTATTATTTGGCAGACTTGAGAAGGTTCTCACTTTCAAAATATCTCTTTCACCATATTACCTGGTCCTTCATAGAAGGGCAGAAATATCACCATTTCAGGGACTTTTCTAAACCAGAGAAGAAAACTGAGTACTTTCGGTAGTAAATCAAGCACCAAGGATGAACTGGAAATCATAAATGGGAGAGTTCTGGTTTTCTATTAACCTTAGGCAAAGATGAACGTGATAGAAGGCCTGGCTGAGAGCAGATTCTAGTCTCTGGGGTTAAAGAGGAGGCTTGAATGCAGAGGGGATTTTGAAAAACGACAGGACACAAAATTTTTAATCCTGAAGAAGCTCATATACTGGTTTTTCTGTGTGTTTCGCTTCTGTTTTTGTTTATTTGCGTGTGTCTTTTTGAGACAGCGTTTCACTATGCATTTGAGGCTAGCCTCGAACTGGCAATGCTGGGATTACAGGCGCGCACCAACACGCCCTGCCTGGTTTCTGTTATGTAGATTGTTTTAAACCAAAGGCACCGAGTTCCTTCCTGAGATAAGCATTGCTTTTAACCCAAAGGCAGCACAAACGACAAGGCTTCAACTTCCCAGTCTGTCAATCTCCGCAGCACGGTGGGGGTGGATTTAGAATGGCCAAGAAATTCTTTTCAGAAGAATTTCCTACGTCAGGTAATTAAAAAACAAACTTCCTTGTTCCCTCTGCGGAGATGTATCCAGGGACAGAAAACACTTTGTTTCGAGCTTTAGAGGGGGGCGTTGGGCCCAGGTGTCCTTTGCACCCAGCTCTAGAGAAAAGGGAAGGAAAGGGGGATGTGGAACTAGCACAGAGCTAAGAACTCACAGGAGTCAAAACCAAAGACACCACAAAAGAAGGGTCAGGGACGGGGCCTGGGGGTGAAAGAGAGCAACAGGGTCCGCAGAGTTAAGAGTCAGGCCGTCTCTGAACGTCTAGGAAGCCTGGACGCGGAAGAGGCGGAGACCAGCAGGAGAAGGGGAGGGAGTTGAGAGGCAGATTGGCCCAAGGCTGAACCGGGTTCCGATCTCGGGGGCGGGGAACCCAGGGGCGCGGAGGCCACACCCAGGACCTGCTGCGCGCCCCGCGCTCTGGGGACCGTAGCCCCGAGCGGTGGGGGCGGGAAGGCATGAGCGACCCTCTCGCCAGGACCAGGACCAGGACCCGGACCCGGGGAGGGGTGCGCGGGTCGCCCCCGCAGTCCGGAGCGGGCTGGGTCCTTTCTGCGCGACGTGGGGCTCCCGGCCCCTCCCCGGCTTCTGGAGCCCCAAATCCTGAGCCCGCGGAGACGAGCGGAGGTCCGGGCGAGGAGCGGTCGGAGGAGCGGTCGGAGGGCCGGGCCCCGGGACGCTGGGCCGGAGAGCGGGACTGTGAGCCGTGGGTCCGAGAGAAAGTGCTCTTTCTGCTGCACCCCGAGAGGTGGCTGGGGACTCGAGGGGACGCTAAATGGGACGAGGGGGCCGTTGGGGAGGTCCTACCCGAGACGAGCAGGGACGACGCCGGCCCGCAGCGGGACTGCGCGGGTCCTCGCTCCGCACTAGAAAGGCGCCATCCCGGCGCACGGGCAGCTCCGGCTGCGCCCCCCAGGCCGCTGCTCGTGCGCGTCGTGGATTACCAGGTGACGCGGGAGGTGCAGCGCACGGCGTGGACGAAGGGGCGCGCGACCACGAGGACGGAGGAGCGCTCGGTGACCGCGGTCACTTTCCGCACTGGAGGCGAGTGAGACGGCTGTGGGCCCGGGATCCCCGCTGCACCCCGGTTCTCCCTGCACGGGGAGACGCGGGCCGCCCGCGCCCACCGCGCAGACCATCGTTTCTTCGCCCCCAAGGACCTGATTCTCACCGAGCAGAGGAGCCCCAGAAATGTTCCCGCCTGGGGGATGAGCGAGACTCCGTAGAAGAAGATGCTCTTCCGGGGACCCCAGGCTACAGCTGACCGACGGGAGGGAGCCCCCTGTTGAAGGGCTGGCGCGGCGCTTCGGGAAGGCAGCCAGCATCCCAGACCACCGAGGAGCTGTAAGCAGCTAACATCTCCTTTGTGGTTTAAGTACCGTGAGGATTTGGGGACCTAAATCATTAAAGAAAAGGGGGGGAAAGGTATTTTAAAAATGGCAAAATGTGTAAATTTTGAAATAAGCCGGGTATGATGGGGCACGCCTGTAATCCCGGCACTCAGAAGGCCGAGGCAGGAAGATGGCCTGTAAATTCGAAGCCAGCCTGGGCTACACAGTGAGCTTAAGGCTAATCTGAACTACATGGTGAGATCCTGTCTCAAAAAAAACAAAACAAAACAAACAACCTGTGATTAATTGTCACTTTGCAATAACTTGCCCTTTAAGACCTAAAAAAACGTAAGCGACGTTTGCGTCTGTCTCTGGGAAGTGCATGGGCGCTGGTGGAATGGAAAAGAGGCTTATTTCAAAGGCTTAAAAAGAACATAAAGCAATGAAAAAATAAAACAGAAAACGAAGCAACAAGTCAAATAAAATTTCTTGTCACTCGCTTCCAAAGAGTTTCCATCCCCCTCCCCGTATTTCAGTGTTAAGAAAAAGAGAGGAACTAGGGAAAGAGAGGGACAGAAGATTTGAGCTTTGAAGGTCAAATACCATTTAAAAGGGCTTTGCTTCCAATAAGATCTGATTTAGTCCAGTGAAAATTCTTTTAATCTGGAATTTTGAATTACTTTAATGTTAAAATATTGCACATCTTATGTACAGACAGAGAAATACTGTATATAATCTGCCATTGAATGATTATATGCCTTATTCTTTCTTTTCTTTTCTTTTTTTTTTTTTCCGGTACCGGGAATCGAACTCATGACCTTGCTCTTGCCAGGCAGGCGCTGTGCCGCTGAGCTGAATCCCCAGCCCCGTGATTGTATGCCTTATTCTTGTCCATGTTTTCTATAAATAAAATTTGTAGTCAGGAATAGATTGCTAATACATTTTGCCTGTTGTTCAGAAATCTGTTTCTATTGAAACAACTTGTTTTTATTATTGATTGCCTTTGTTATTAAACACAATATTAACAACTTTTGAGTATCTGGTCTAGTTTGGGACTTCGAGGAACAAAACAGGCTCCCAGGGGTGAGCTACTCCACCTGTTTTTCCCCTGCTGAAGGACAATTAGCAAAGGGAGTGGAACTCTGGCTTTTGAGGTGTACAAGGCTGCAAAGTACCACCTACCTCAGTCCCATGTGCCCCTATTTTAAGCTTGATCCTGAAATGCCTTCTAAAGATCATCTGATCTTGCCCCCTGACAAGCAAGTAAGATGGGTCCCTGTTTTATGGATGAGCCAGCTTTGGCTTAAAAGTGTAGGTCATACAGTTAGCAATTGTGTCTGCTTACCGAGTAGGCAAAGAATGTGGCCATCTCCTACAGGTTTGTGGGTGGCCTTTGGTGGTTAAAAGATGACTGAGGACATTATGGGTTTTCTAACTCATGTTTACAAAAATAGGAGAAGGCCCTGGTGTCCCTGAAGTCTGCAAGGCCTCTTGACTAGAGTTACCACTGGCAGTGCTCAGATCTTTGTGAGACCCTCACTTATTCAGCACAGGTGTCCATCTATGTTCTAGCCTTGTTGGTAGATAGAAAAGAGAATATTGCCTCCACCCCTCATTTTTTGCTTTCCCTCCTTTTAATTTTTTCCCTCCAGTACTGGAGCTTGAACCCAGGGCTTTCTGACTGACCTTTTGAAACAAGGTCTCCACAACTTGCTAAGTTGCATAGTCTGGGCTTGAACATGTGACCCTCCTGCCTCAGCTTTCCAGGGTGCCGGAATTACAGGTGTTAGCCACTGCACCCAGCAATACTGGCCCCTTACAGTGAAGTTTCTCCAACAACTCTAAGGTTAACTTTCCTGGCAGGTAAATATTATACCTGAGCTTGTTAATTTGGTTTATATATTTTCTTGTTGAATATAGACAAGAAGTTCATCTCTTACAGTGACCAAAAATGGTACCACCTTCATCATAAAAAACTCTGGAGTTCAATTGCTTGGATTCAGAACTGGCTGCATCTCCCCCTGTAACTTGGGTAAGGTACCTAATTTCTGTATCCTTTTGTGTCCTTATTCATTAACTAGGGATAATAAATAGTGCCACAGAGTTTTTTCTCTGATTAAGTTAATTGAGAATACCTAAAATACTGCCTGGCATACAATGTGTTCAAAAATTAGCTATTTTTATTACTAGTGTAGTTGTTATTGCAGAACTCACTTCATTCTAACTAGGTTTTAGTCTTATTTAGTAACAGAGCAGAAAGTATAAAACACACACTCAAAAAATTTAATGAAAGAAAAAAAATCTAATGAAGCCAGTGGTTTTTAACTAAGATTCTCTTGTATTCTTAATGACTGATTTCTAGTTTTCCATCATAATGTATCAGGAAGTATGTTCCTTAAATTCCTTAGACATGACCTCCACATTTTCTGTCCTTATAGCCTCATGCTAAAGCTCAAAGGACTAAGGCACAAGTTTTCATAGACTGCCTCGTTCTTGGTAGGTAAGAACTTTGAATGCTTTCTTTAGGACCTGTCCGGTTAGTCTGTTTTGCCTGTGAGATTCTTTTGTTTTTGTCTTTTGGAGACAGGGTCTCACTATGCAATTCAGGCTGGCCTTGAGCTCATTTTGTAGCTCAGGCTAGTCTCAAACTGGAAAGGATCCTCCTGCCCCAGCCTCCCGAGTGCTGGGATTACAGGCGTGCGCCACCATGCCAGATGCCTCTGAGATTTTAAATCTGATGCCCTGTCATATTAGAAAAGCAGAATAGGCACAAGTGATATTTTTAATGTCAAAAATGTATTTTTTTTAAGTTAATTTAACTCCTTTAATTCAAATGTTTGAGTTAGTTTTATCTCCTTTAAGTGAAAAAACAAATTGTTTTGAGGCAGGGGTCTTGCCGTATAGTTCAGGCTGACCCTGAATTAACCAGATAGCCCAGGCTGGCCTTGAATTTGCAGCAGTCCTCCTGCTTCAGCCTCCCACCTGCTGGGATTACAGGCATGCACCACCATGTGGTGGTTGAAAGAATTTTAAACATTTACCCAACCTCTCTGTTAACTGCCTACAGCGTGTTTATAGATTTCCTTTAGAACCAACAGCTCAGTGCAAACTGAAAGTGGAAAGTTGAAGGACTGTTGAGTTTGCTTTACAGGCTCCCCTGATCCTAGCGGGACCCTATCATGTGGAGTCTGAGGAAACTTCCCTGTGTCCTGGGAGTGCTCCAGAAGTCAGACTTGTCTTTGATACTGAGAAATCTCTGAGAATGGCTGGATCTTGGGTCTTTGATCTTACCGCTACCTCATGGAAAGACAAGATCACCTAAGCAAGGCATCAGGTGGATGAGCCCCGAACTTCCAGAAGACATCTGGTCACTTCACTGTTAGGCAGATGTCACAGTCACAGAACCCTGTGTGGATCGGGCAAGTGTCCACCTCTCAAAACCCTTTACACATGACTTTTACCTTTTATGTTCATTACATTTGACTTGTGGTGTTTTTTCCTTCTGGATATAACCAGTTCTTGATGTTAAGACTTGATGTGGCTGTTTGCTTCAAAAAAGAAGGAAAAAGGTTTTTTTTTTTAAAAAAATTTCATTTTGATACAGTCTCTGGTTAATTGTGCAGCCTGTGCTTGAATCTGCAATCCTCCTCCTGAGTAGCTGGGATTACAAGCATGTGCCACTGCCTGGCAAAGGCTTTCTGTTTTTAAAAAATTTACTTATGCAGAAATTTTTGAGGAAATATTAACTGATGAGGCAAAAGAAAAGCAAGATAAAAGCACACAAAAACTCTTGATCCCAAATCTGTGAATATTTTGTGTTTTCAGTATGGTTTTATTTTATTCTATTTTTATTGTATGCGTGCATATATACCGTTATGGTTTGTGTCCATGTGTCCCCCCAAATCCTCATGCAGTCGTGGGGCAGAGCTTCTGGAGTTTATGATTGATTCATGGTCCAATGCTAGGATTATGGATGTGAGAGCTACACCTGCCCTGGAGCAGTTTGCATACAATGTAAGGGAGGGGAAGAGGCTGCTTGCCACGGCTCCTCCCTTTTTGCTCTTGTTGCTCTTGCTGTCTTCCACCGCCATGAACGTTTGCCCTCTGCCATGTGCCACTCTGCCTTGGAGCCAGCCAAGTATGGACTGAAACCTCCACAAACTGTAACCTAAATAAACCTTTCCTTCCTTAATTTTGGGCCTCAGGTATTTTTATTTTGTCTCAGCAACAAGAGAAAAGTAACCAAGACATACGCTTACATGTTCTAAGCATAAATTATACAAAGAAAGTAACTAATGTAACTGCTTTAAATTCTGAGTGTTGTCTCTTTCTTTATGAAAATTAATATTACACAAATTGTGATTTGTGGACCAGCAAAAATGGGCATCTTCAGGAAGATTTTTAGAAATTCAGGATCTCAGGCCCACTCCAGATCTACTAAGTCAGAATTTGCATTTTAAAAAGATCCCAGGGTGATTCTCATGGTAGTCTTGACAACCGTCCACATACTCCCCTCTATTTACCTCAGTGGCTTACTTGGGCACTTGTCAGAACTAATAAAGTTTTATTTTTCCTGTATTTTCCATCAAGTGTTGACAGCACCATGACACTAATAATTAATAGAATTATGGAAATATTTAGAGATTGCAGAAGGGTGAAATATGACATGGGTATTTGTAAATTGGTAAAAAAGATCTTTAAGATGCATCATGTCTTTTTTTTTTTTTTGTCTTTTTGGGACAGGGTCTCGCTATGCAGTTCAGGCTGGCCTTAAGCTCATTTTGTACCCCAGGCTGGCCTCAAACTAGCAGCAAGCTTCCTGCCTCTGCCTTCTCCTGAGTGCTGGGATTACAGGCACCACAGCGGCCTCATATCTTTTTTAATTTTTTGTTTTGTTTTTTTTTCCGGTACCGGGAATCAAACTCACGACTTGCACTTGCCAGGCAGGCGCTGTGCCACTGAGCTAAATCCCCAGCCCCTTTTTAAAATTTTTTTTTTTTTTGTCTTTTTGAGATAGGGTCTCACTATGCAGTTCAGGCTGGCCTTCAGCTCACTTTGTAGCCCAGCCCAGGCTGGTCTCGAACTTGCCACGATCCTCTTGCCTCAGCCTCCTGAGTGCTGGGATTACAGGTGTGCGCCACCACACCTGGCCTCATGTCTTTTTTTAAGAGCCCTATTTTGCAGTTTTTTTCTAGTGAGCAATTGATTGACTGTTGGAGTTTGAACTCTGTACTTCAGAAATGTAGTTCTTTAATTATCTAAGAATGTAAATTAATATGTTCTCAAAGATTCCTCAGGGGAGGAAGGACAGGAAGTCATTAAAGACAGCACAACTGCACGGGCTTTACAGCCTTCCTCAGGATTAGTCAGCCACTGCTGGTGATTTGTGAGGGGGTGGGGCAAAGGTGGAGCCTAAGTTTGAATCAACTGGCTCAGGTAAGAAAACAAAGGGCTGCCAGTCTTGAAAGCCTGACATCTCTGTAATTGCAGTCAGTACTTTGCTCTTTAATTAGGGAGGACCGACTTTTGTAGATGAAGATAAGAAACAAATAGCCCAGATTACTCTGGAGAGAGTTAGTTCTTCAACCCATAGTTACCAATAAAACATGGTTAGTAAAACCAGTAAGGCTTGGTTATGTTCAAAACAAAAAAAGCTGTTTAAAGTCACTCAGATTTCTAAGTTTAAAACAGAATGAAAGGCAGACATGGTGGTAAAACACCTGCAGTCCCAGCAAGAGGATAGAGTTAGAGGCCTGGCTGGGCTACACAGCAAATTTGAGGCTATGCTAGGTTATAGCCAGAACCTTAATTCAAACAAACAGGATCAAGAACAAGGAGACTGCAACTTCACAAAAAATAGAATCCTGGATGTGCAGAGCATGGTGTCAGCCAGCGTCACTGCTGAGCAGGAAAGCAGGGCTGCTGTGTACTAGAAAAGTTTGACATTCTCTTAGCTTGACTAAACTAAAGAGGGGTTTCCTCCTGAGTAGGTCTCCAACCTCCCTTTCCTTAGGGTTTTAGAAAACTTCCCAATTTGAATTTCCTTTGAAATACAGGTCTTCCCTCACACACCTTGTGCCAGTTTCTGTAATTCAAGAATATCTCAAGGACTTCTGTCCATCCCTTTGAAGTGGAGTCCTGACGAAGATGAGGCCTCCAGTTGCCAGTGTCTGTGGGAGAGTAGAGTACCAAACCCAGGTCTGCCCCAGCAAACCATGAGCTGTAATCACACTGTCCAATCTCCCCCTAACATCCTTTAGTACTTTTCACTAGTTTTACCATATTAATTAAAAACTCACCATTTGTTTCAAAGGAATTGAATTTCCCCAATGAATAATCTTGAATAAGACTTCCTTTAACTGTCCTTTAAAATTTTTCTTGGGCAATAGTGAAAACAAGAAGGTTTGGGCAATAGTGAAAACAAGAAGGCTTTAGGTTTGCTCTGATTGAACCCTGTTGGTATGAGGAAGCTGCAGTCTATCTTGAAGAGCAACTCTTTACGTGCTTGGTTTGGGCCTTTCTCTGGTGGGTCCTGAATTGGAAGGGTGCAAAAACCAGGGACACTGGCAGTCACTGTCCAGGTCCTGTACCTCACTGATGGCTGTGGTTTCACTTCTCAGGCCAGCTGCCTTAGAAATTGTGAGTTAGCCTTCTGTAATAAGTATCATCAACCTCAGGATTTTTCCTAGGATTAAGTTAAATGAAAAATACTTAGAACTGTGCTGGGTGTATAATAATCAGAAGTAGCTACCATGATTTTTCATGATAGTGATGTCCACCTAACAGTCACGGCCCACCACAGAGACAGGGAACAGACAAAACTCTGAGCACCTACCTACTACTCATGAAAGGCATAATTTGTATTTTCTTCTGGGCCAGTCAGGGACTTAAATTTATGAACCATAACTCTTGGGGCTACAGACCCCCAATGGGTAAGCAGAAGCAGAACGAAACTTGGCCATTTTGTATCTTTTGTTACCTTAATACTTTGGGTCAAATCCCTTCCCAAACTTGTAGAAGTGTTACACGCCCTGAAAGACACCAAGATGGGGGATTTCCAGGGACGAGTCTGTGCCTGGAGGTCTCCAGCCATTGTCTTGAACCTGTGATGACCTGGATTCCAGGGAAGGTTGAGACCTCCACAGAGATAATCCTTCCCTGGAAATCAGCCAAAAGGATGATAAACTTTTTCCACAATGGGAGTCAGCAAACTTGGAACTTAATTCTATGGGTAGGGTGGGTCTCTGTTTCTTGTTTCTGGGTTCCCACCTCAGATCCAATCCAGTGACACAGCCAGATGGGATAGAAAGACTGTGCAGCCCAAATCTTGATAACGCACAGGATCTGGGTCAGTGCTGTGGCTGGCCAGGAAGTCCATAAACATGCCTAGGGTTTCTGAGACATGAACGCTGGTTATCAGAGAATCCTTAAAGAAGGTGACTACATTCTGAAGCTCTCCCTGAAAATTCTCTTTGTTCCATAAATATTATCTGGTACCCCTTGTATCTGTTATTTTTTCCCAAGTAATTTGAATTCAAGACTGAGATTTTTTTTGTACCATTGCATAGAAATTCACAAATCTCTGAAAACCAATAACATGTAGATCCTTTCCCCATCGGTCTCTTCCAAACTCTTCTTCAGTTGTATACCCACCTCTCTGTGGACCTAGTGAGCTGTCAAAATAAGTTCAACATCACAAACTAGGACATGCATTTAAGAATTGTCCAATGGACACGCTAAGCAGCTGTAGCACTCAGAGTTATAAGCCAGGGCAAAGTTATGTAATTTTAAGATCCGGTTTATACACCCTATGTCCTCCATGCACACCCCTTACTTTAGTTTCAGTGAGGTGGCACTAATCCATTAGACAGCAGTTTGGGAGTGGATAATTAGAACTAATCTTTATCAAAGCTTACTTCACCTCTATTAAAAAAATGATTTGCAATGCTTCATTCTAGATGTTTTAAGTATAATGTGGCTATCTCCAAAAACTATGTGACTGTCACTGGACAGGACCCAAGGAGATCCTCAAAGTAAAGATGGGGAACTTGACTTACCCTACCCATGGGGCAGGTTGCAGGTTGGCTGCTGCATAGTGGGTCCCAGGGAGAATTCTTTCCATGTTCCTGATGTCTTGAATGAAGACTGGACAAGACACACAGAAAAGGGAGTGGGGATGTACATTTATTGAAGGTGGGAAAAAAGTGTGCTCTGCAAAATGAGAGCAAGTCAGCGAACAGACTCACAGCAACACCAAAGGGTAAAGGAGAGGGGTCTTTTGTACCTGAAATTCCTGCGATGAATCCAAAATTCCTGCATTGACTTCTCCCTCGTATACATAAGGCTTTGGATCAGTTGTCCTGATGTAACTTGCTTGGCTTGGCACCGGATACAAACTGCCCTCTTGAGACACTTGCTTGGCCTCCTACGGATGTATTACAAGACTCTCTTGGTGTCCTGCCAGATGTAAATGAAGAATTGAAAATAGCATTTTTCTAATTGGGTTCATGTACAGCATTGAGGAGCCACACAGTTATCCTGGATCTGTGTTCTGCACGTATCTCCTAGGTCTCCATAACATTGACATATCCCCCCCACCAGTTGTTTGACTGATTTCCCCCAGCCCTTACCTCCTAGTTCATTTTCCCCTGAGAGACAATCTGCATGATTGTGGAATGCTGAGGTAGTGGGGGTTTCCTTCCTCCTCCTCTTTCTCCTCACCTTCTCCTTTTCTTTCTCTAGCTCCCTCTTTCCTTCTCTCCCTCCTTTCCTTCCTTCCTTCCTTCTTTCCTTCTTTCCTTCTTTCCTTCTTTCCTTCTTTCCTTCTTTCCTTCCTTCCTTCCTTCCTTCCTTCCTTCCTTCCTTCCTTCCTTCCTTCCTTCCT